GACACGGAAATGATCCCGTAGGTCACTCAAAGCAAAGGTCGAAGGGGGGGGGGCTTACGCTGAGAAAATACGGTATCATAGTTTCAGACGTAGCACGAAACAGATTGCTGATCGATAGGTTACGCGTTTGTCGTTCGCCGCTAAGTTCATTATCACATGCAGCTGAATTGATGCATGGCCTGTCACACGCTCGCCTTCAGCCACCCTCTTCAGCGTGAACGCAGGCTACTTCTCAGCGTTCCTTCACTATGAGCTTCCGGCACGTGAAATAACATTATTTTCAGTTTTCTGCACTGATGAAAACCACTTGGAGGAGGAAGTAAACTTTGCTTCCAAGGATTAAGTATATTGCAGTCGAGGAATATTAATTTTAACGCTAAATTTCAACGAGAAGTAAATCTCAATTTCACTTTACGTTCTGCGAAAAATAGTTTACTAAGGAACTGAATAAACAGGCCAGATTACCGCATAATTCTTAGAGAAATATATGCCAATGGAGTCGAATAGCAGAACTGCGAATTCTCTGAGTCATGTGATGAAACTCTACCTCCTTATCGATCAGTATCACAGCGGCAATTCATTCATTTGTACAGAATAGTAAGGCGAAAATCAACAATTCCAGTAGGCACATTCATATCGTAGTGTTGCTGGTACGGCGTGGGAAAAGACCTCAGAATTACAGAAGAACGCAACTGATCGATAACAGCTTTAAAGCCATTTCTGTTCAACCCTTACAAAAGAAATCGAACTATGTTTTCTCAGTGCAACAACTGATTATTCTTTATTTACACCATTTGTTTAATATCTCATCATCATCAACATTTCCCATAGCAACATGACCATTAGGTGAAAGAAAGGAAAAATTGTAGTCGTTGTAATATTCGTTTTTCTCAAGCTTTTATACTAGGTTCATTTCTGGTGTCTTTCTTCACGTGAAGTTAATGGCAGAAAGCACGGATCTCCAGTTTCATGCCATAGGCAAGGAATGGCTTACCTTTTTTAAAGCAGGGCCAACAGAAGCCATATGACAAACAAAGTGTGTAGTGTCCTGCTTTTTTCCCACAAAATGGCACTCACTTATCAGCCTCGCAAGGAAGACAGGTAAGTAGCTTGATCGGTGCTTCAGCCAAGGACCTCACGGTTTTGAGAACGACATTCTACCAATTCAGCAACCCCAAGCTATAGAGACGTCGACGAAGGTTCTGGGAATGGACCCTCCTTTGCTTCAGGAGATCTTCTGCCTGATTATCGTAAGGTTACTTGTCCTCTTTCTAATGCACTTTCCTAAGCTGTTATTTCTGCCTTTCTTTTGGTATTCCCTGGCCCTTCCACCTTGAACGGTGCCTTGCACTGTAGTTTCATGAAACCACTGAGTGACGAGGCATGTCCAATAACGATTTGGTTGTTAGCAGCTGTATTTGCTAACTGGTGACCACTTCCGTTGTCCCTCTTGCTTCATGCGCCTTGTACGAGCCCTCAGCTTGCGCCAACAGTACCTCATTTCGAACCCCTGTCTGCATGATTCCTTCTCACTATTAGTGCTATAAGCGTCTAGGTTTCAAAACCATACAGACAGACTGATTTTGCTGCGAGTACTCTCAGAACTTTGTGATCTTTGTTTTCCCATATATGTTGTTTTCATTTCAGTTAGACTCCGTTTTCGACAGCGTTGGCATTTCTGTCGCGAATCAGGTTTTAATTTCTGCCAATTATATTAGATTAACATTTATAGAGACC